TGAGATTGCATCGCACAGCCTGCAGCTAGAAATGACTAGAAACATGTGGAAACCTCTAGAAACTTGAGAACACTAAATCACGTGCTAAAGAGAAGCCTTTGAAGCTCTACTTAAGGAGGGTGACAGGCAAGCAGGCCAGGTTGAGGTTCCGCCATGCACAGGATTCCCGAAGTTCGGGGCTCAGCAATTTAGTGGCTCTGTGATGGGCAGGTGGTAGCTTGGCCATGTAGACACTTGGATTTAGATTAGTATATACACAGAGTGACACAGTGAGAGCAGAAATTACTCTTGATTGATAATATAGCATTATATAGCCTGATATGTTTTGATGACATGCAACCATCATACATACAAAATAATCATGATGGTTTCAGTGCTCAGCCCATGGTTTTGGAAGATTTGGGAAGATTTTTTTGTAGCAAGGCTGATAAGATCGAAGAACTGCGGCGGAAGGACTGGCGGGCAAAGAGGATTCGGAGGGAAAGGGAAAACAGGTTTCGATGTGTTCTCTCGTGTTCTTTGGCTCCCATTTTCATTCTGTTCTGAATCAAGGATGATCCAGCGCTCTTAAGTATAATCTTCCGGCCTATTCTGGCCTCCATATTTGGCAAAAAGACAGAGGACGTTGCAATGCGTATCGTCAGACCAGATTCGGCAGAGTCGCACTTGGCAAGCGCAGGATTCAGAGTTTGGTGATTGGCATCGCCATGACAGGTTCGCTTGTGGAGGTTTCATCCTGGTCGGTCCTGGTTCATCCATTTAAAATTTACACCCACATCATTCCAAATCCATTGTCGTCAAAGTTGTCAACTGGAAAGGGATGGAAAGGGTCCAGAGCAGGATTGAAACTGCAGCTATTTCCAGCTCACATTCCTAGATGCTGCCAGGGCACTTGGCGGCACGCTCTTGCCTGGACTGGATTTGGCTGACCCGTTTGTGGGATGGTGAAGTGCTGCTTACTTAAATGCTATTGGACAGTAAGTATGATGTATATATATATAGGCTGTTCAATACATTCAAGAACAACAGTCAGTTGTGACAAACAAAAGCTGTGTGTTGCTTTCAATCTGATCTCTCACGTATGACGTTTCAGGAAAAGATAAGCTGTCTAGGAGCATTCCAAACATTTGTCAGGCGAGTTGAACCGATATGCGACATATCATCTGGGGTGAGCATTTTCAACACGTTTTTACTGACACACCCTCACAAACCAGCCTATCAAACTGGAAAATTGAGGACGTGCTCTCGGATGACATCATTTCTTGGCGGAATTACTAATTATGACAAGCCTCGCTCTTGGGAAAAAGGTGGACCATCTCCAGGTGAACAAAACGAGGTAATCCGCTGCTTTGGCAGCCAAAAAAATCCAACGCGTGACATGCCTCCTCCAAAGAAGACAATTGAGGAACGACTTGCCGCAAAAGCACAAAGTCTGAGCAAGGCTGCTGCCAAGTGGCGTAGAAAGAAACATATAAATGCCAGCGAACGCGACTCAGACTCTGACAGTTCAACCACCAGTGAAACCAGCACTCTATCAGCCGCATTTGCCGCGCCTGCCCGCTGCGAGTGAAAATTGTGGGTCTTCCCACTAAAACTCCATTCTTTGGTTTGCCATAAGAGATGCGCAAGCTAGTTCTTTGAAGTTGTTGCGCCGCAAGCAAAACCTTGGAAAACGTAAGCGAAATGTAAGCTCCTACGTAAGCTTTGAATTCTCGGCAAGGAGATATAAAGGAATTTTGAACACAGCTCAGTTGGTCTCCAAGTCAAGTCATTCGCGGAGAAGCAATATGACTCTACGGAGGGAATGTGATCAATTGGACATAGTCATAGTTGAACCATATGCGATCATATACGGCATGGAAAGTGGAGGTGGGTTGAATATATCAGCCAAATGAACCCAATCCTTGGATGGCATTTGAATGGACATGTAATCACATGTCATGTAAACTACAGTAATTATTCACGAACAATTCAGGACTAATTTCTGTTGGCATCTTCCAATGGCATTGCATCAGCTGTTTCGATTTTGGAGGACAGCTGGATGTCTCCGAAGGCCCATGTCTTTCGGTGCAAAGTTGGTGATCCGGATTCGATTGAGTGCAGGAAACTTGTTCAGCTATTAACTGAACACGTTTCCTGCACTCACTCGGTCCAGTGATGCCAGTATGTACACCACATGAATCACATGGATGCCTAGTGTATCTCTACTAGAATGTTTGTCACCAGCCATGAACTGCAAACTGTTGAGATCAGAAATTGCCATCTACTGACCATTGGAAAGCACGTTCAAAGCAAAGTCCCTCAAACCTCTAACATAGAACAGTGAGAATGGTCTTGAAAACTGAATCTTTGGCCCTCTAAAAGGAACGTATTTTTGTAATTGTTTGTGCAGATCTTGGTCCGCCTTCGGGGAACGACCATTGGAAGGTGCGGCTCCACGTGCAGCTGCTCGCTGGAATGCAACTTGGTTTGTCAATACGGCAAGTCTGAAAGGAACCGGCAGCAGGATCGCGATACTGGCTTCGCAAGGATGTGATCCTGTCTTGAAACGTGGCTTACTCAAGACACAAGGACTGAATACTGTTGCACAAGCTAATAGCACCCTTGGCTTGCATAGCCAAGGCTGCCACAACAATTGAGCTTCCCTCTTTGGCCGGGGCTCTCGGATTGATCCCGATTCCAGCTATCGGATTCATACTTATTCCTACAATCCACAGCATCGCTAAAGATTTGAGTTACGTTGAGTTCACCATTGAAGGCATGAAGTCATAAAGAGATATAAAGAGCCTGTTTCGTAACATGAGCGAACCCCATAAGTGGGCTTGGGTCATCAGAGGCTCTCTTGGCATCTTGGCTCATCCTAAACCAATCTGAAGAGCTTGGTGATGCTCGTTGCAAAAGCCAAGGCAGCCACAGGTTCAAGTGCGCAGATGTCACCCTGGCGCTTTGCAGGGCTGCGGTCACAAGTCCAAGTGCATATGCAATATACATCAATATCCCATAGGATCCATGTATGCTATATATGGTAACATTTACCATCAATATACCCCCAATGTTAGCATATATAGCATGCATGGATCCTATGGGTATACTATTTGTTTGTCTATATTAGTTTTAGTCTATTTCCTTGTCTGGATGATAAGGATGATAAAGGCCCGATTTCATCTACAAGCCTGCAAGGGGCCTGAAGTTGGTTGAAACCACCTCTGGACCGAGACACTGGATCCTTCAGCTGCAGCCCATTCCTCCGGGCTCTATTTGTCATTTCGAGAAAAAGAACATGTCAAAATAAGTCACAGCGTTGCTCATTCCTGGGGCTACGTTGCTACGTGGATTCAACTGTGCTGAAAATGACAGGGCCTCGACGGCGCAGGTGCGTTTTTTTTTAAACGGCTTTGACTCAACATCAGTCGACTGTCTTTTAACTGAATCACTGGTTTACTTCCAGAAGCCTCATTAAATCCGAATGAAGGACTAGGCACCTGTGTCTCATCTCCTTATCAGAGAAGTTGCTTATATACTATAGTTATTGTTTCTGACTGTTTACTTTCCTCGTCATGTGCATTCCCTTCTCCAAATGATGTCATGATGTCCTGCTGTCCTACTCCAGAGGTTCAAGGCCAAAGCCGGCTTTGCATAGCGAAATGGATTGACCAAACTTGGATTCCAGCATTGTGTTGCTGTTTATGTATCGTTTATGTAGTATGTCAGCACGGCTATGTCGAACAGTCTGTCAGACAAGCCAGATCAACAGTATGCATTTTTATCCGGCCTTTTACAAGATTTGTCTCAGGCAGCATTTGGATTGGTGGACCGATCTGAGTAGTGAGACCTTCCCATTGCTGAAATAACTTTGCGGGCTGAACTGAGATCCAGTGGAACTGGCTCACTGCTGATTGAAATCTGTTGAGCACAGTTGATCAGGAGTTTGTCACCCACAGGGTCAGCATGTAAGGCTCATGACCAACATCAGTGCCTGCTTTCACCAACTGGTTTCTGGGACCAGCACACACTATCGTTTTTATGACGGGGGCAGGGGTCTATTGAGCACCTGAAGCCGCGGATAGAACTGGATCACATTCTCGTGCTGGTGACCTTCCAGCAGGATCAAATATTTGTTAATGTTCATTGATTAGTGTCGCGCACTTGGACATAGCACCCCAAGGTGAAGCTCTGCAAAGCAGAGCATTGCTTTGGTTAGTAGCTTTGCCCTGAAGCACTTGGCTAGAGCAACAAGTGGTTTTCGGAGGCGGTGGCTGTGATGCGGTAGTGTCTACGGACTTCAGTGGACATGGACATGATAAAAAAGGATGGAAAGACCTTCTGTGTGACTCATGGCAAGTGCTGATTCAAAGGATGCGAGAGAACCGTTTCACCAAAGGGTGGCTCGCTATTGTCACCAAGTAGATCGGGTAGGCAAAGCAAATCGCTGCAACCGAAAAAGCCAACAGCCCCTCTGACGGAAGAGGCGCCTTCCGGTCATTTGTTCAAAGCAGCTGGAGCTGGGATGCTTTCCTTCATGATGCATGTTTGCATATGTTTGCTATATGTCGCATATACAGTCATATACATGCATATATATATAAATTATTTGCATATAACTTTGTTAAATTTATTCCATACATCAAACACTGTCATATAATTGATCATGCGTGTGTGTGTGTGTAATTATATGTTCAGTCCGGGGCACACAGGCCGTGTGCTGGACAGTTTGGATTCCTTTTTGCCCGAACAAGCTGCGAACAGCACGAGCCACCTCAGAAACCTGAGCAAATGGGACAGATCTGAAGGGCCTGGAAGGTTGTGGAGGCATGTGAAGTTCTTCAGCCAGTTCAGCTACAGCAATTCTGAATAGCAGCGCTATGTGCTAGAACTTTGGTAGTATTGGTAGCCCTTCTTATATCTTCGGTCGGAAGCATTCGGAAGCTTTAGGCCAAGTTGGGGCATGGTTGTGGCCTGTCCATTTCGAATGGCTTCCAACGCCATGGCGGCTCTCTGGGATGGTCGCAGGGCGGCAACAAGATGCACTGAGAAGCTTAAATCTTCAGCTGTCCAAGCACGCACGTGCTGCAGAATGGCAGGAAGCCATCAAGTTGTTCAGGCAGGGATAGAATTCCTGGAAATTCCTGGAACCTAGCTTGACGTTTTAGCTTGAAAAGGATTAACACTGCTGCAGGAAACTTTTACTCACACTATCCATATCCTATTTCTCGTATTTTGATATACTTTAATATTCACTTCCTTGAGTCTTCCTTGATGGTACAGTATGAGGTTTGTTTCGATGGCAGTCCTGAGAGGATTCTGTCCCGTCCCACTTTCGTTTGAAGTCCTGTGATGCTAGACTTGGTTTGAAACCAAGGGTGGGTGAGGCTAGGGCCTTGCATTTTTTGAGTTTGGAAGGGCAATCAGCATCAGCATGGTACAAGATCATGTCAGATCATTATCATATCATAGCATAGCACAGCATATCACGCATAATTCTGTCGATCCATGTGTCCTGCACAGGTCGGGTACAGGGCTTCAAAAAGACGTGGTGACCTTCGGCACAGTGACGTGGCAGGAGAGTGCCAAGTTGTGATGCCGGCGTGAAGTTCTTGGATCCTGTGACTGTGACTGGTAGAGATCCAGGGCAGATCATTTGGATCCACAAGTTGGAAAAGCATCCTGACAGATCCTGACAGCACTAAAGCCATATAGGTTTGCTTGTGCTTCTGTGGATGAAGCAGTTGCCAAATGATTTCCAGATTTTCTGAAGTTATTTGCCTAGAATAGAATTCCTTTGTGATCTTTGTGCCAATGCTGCTGAGGTGGTCAAGGCTATCGGCAAGGCCATGTTGTGGCGACAAGTTTTGCATTGGCTGACCCTTGCCAGCAGCTGCCAGCATGTTGCATGGCAGTGGTCCCTATAGGTTGTGGAAGCTGGTCCCAGCAGCTAATCTTAGATAAAGGCCAGGTCCCCTGAGCCACAGCGCCTCCATTGTGACGCACATCGTCACCTAAGAAAATCGATTTTCGTATGGCCGAAACATGAGGGCACCATGGCACATGTTGACCCCTGCTCAGAAACAGAAGTGATAACATGCAGTAACGTTGGGAAGAGATGGGGGGAGGACGTTTTGTTTATGATAAGGGGCTTCAAATCACAACCACTTGGGCTGGTGCGCCTTTTCAAAGGAACTATGTGGCCTCCAGCAGCCTTGCTGGCAGCACCATCCTCCTCAACTCAGCACTGAGCTGCTTGTCCGATGCTTCAAGATGGAGATCAGCAGTAGACGCTAGGTCTGGCTTGGTGCCAAGATTTCACCATATTTCACCTTTTTATTTTTTTTCTGCAGCCACTAGTGTGTCACTTGCGTGAGGTGAGGCTTGAATTGCAGGGGAGATAGAAACGTTGGTCGAAGACGGAATACCTTTGATGAAAAACGGGATGAAATGGATTCCAGCCCTTGTTTTGCGGGATCAAAGTGTATGGAGATCAGCCTTGTGTGAGTTGAGGAAGTGTATGCCCGAAGCACAAAGACATCGGTGCTGTGTGACGTGATCACAGTGAACAATTTGATCAGCGCTTGCCACTGAAGCTGCAGCTTACTTCATTTTTGGATGAGCTCAAAGCCATCAAAGTTTGGCGGATTTTGCAGGTGTTCTTGGTTTTTTGGTGCCAAGTGCCAAGTGATAAGACACGAGAAGACGCATTGTTCCGATTGATGGCATTAAGGCCAGCTACAGTGGCAGAAATGCTTGCAGCAGGCTGGAAAGATACAGCAAGAAGGCGTTGAGACTGACGTTGTGACGCACAATGCGGCCCAGCTTGCAAGGCAGTCGAGAGTCTAGCGAGGTTCTGAATACCACTGAATGGCTGTCTTATTTCTCTTGTTTGTCGTTTGAATTCTTGCAGATTAAGATGATTAAGATTAAGCATTAAGCTTCGTAAACATGTGAGTGGATAAACCTTGGATCAAACTAAGATGAATTGAAAAGAATTGAGATGTCTCCAGTTCTCTCCCCGTCTTCGCAGTCAGAGCAACAACTAGAAGCTCAGGTGGTCCTTGCATCTTTCAATGGCACCACCTGGACATCAGCCATGGCTTGGTTGAGCAACATGCTCGAAAAAGGTCTCCAACGCACAGCTGTCACCTTTGGAACTGCTATCTCTGTTCATGACCCTTGATGCAGCAATTGCATGTTGGAGCGAATGCATTACCGGCATCATGGTATGACTGGAGCAGCATCATGGAAAACCTTTGCTAGCCGCCTTTGTGTTCTCCATTTTGCCATTATGTGCCCTTCATGTGGTCAATTCACGGGTGCAATCTTGTGTTTTGACCTTGGTGCTGTACAATTTCAGCACATGTTTCGATGTGACACGGCTACCGCTCCCATGTTGCACCCAGGATGTAAAAGATGACTTTCGAACTGGGCAGCGTGCTTGGGAGCGATCTCTACTGTGTGCAGAGCAGGTGAGCCAGCTTAACATAGCTTAACTACTACTGTTTATAGCTTCGTGATGCTTCGTGAAGGATTGCGGCAACATGTTCATCACCCAGGACCCAGGCAGAAAATTGAGAGAGAGAGAGAGACAGCCTGTGATGCGTATTCGGGGGTTTACTTTGACTTCGGTTTGCAGGTGAGGAATGCTGCCCTGGAGCCAAACATCATTTTGGGCAATGCTGCCATCACCTCTTGTGAGAGAGCATCCAGGCGGGCGGCACTGAGCTTTCAGTGTGAAACCTACTGGGCAACACTGGGCACTGGGGTTAGGTCGTAGCAGTCTATGTTAGGTCACAGCAGTAAGCGCGCCGGAAACACGCAAAAATAAGATAAAATAAGTGTAAGTTGTGTAAGGCAGTTTTTCATGGCAATTTGGATGTCAGAAGAAGATATGGAATTCCTTTTCCGCATGAGCCTGCTATGACTCCGGTGACTTAAACCATTGCAGCGATTCTATTTGGCAACAGCCCCTGCTATTACTGAAAACGGGATGCTTTGGCTAAACCGTACTTGATCCATCTTCATCCATGCGCTCATAGGCTAGGAAAATTAGTTCTATCAAACAAAACCCCTGCGAGAATATAACAAAACAGTAAACAGTAATCAGTATCATCTGCTCTGATGCCACAATGTACCCGTACAAAGATGCAAGGTGGATGTGGTCTTTGACTCTTTTATCAACATTGAGCCACTGTGCTGCATAGCAGACCCTTTTGGCCGATGAATAAGGATGGCCGCCTGGTTGCTTACAGGACTTGAGTGATCAATTGACACTAGGACGAAAGGAGCTGATGGCTATTGCACGGCATATCCGGACATTGATATCAGGAGAATTCAGGAGAGTGCAGATGGTTTACTGCAGATTGTATGGGTCCCTGGTTTCTTTTTCAGATGTCAAAGCTACCAGCCTGATATAACACTTGCAACCATGTTCCTCAGCATTTCAGTTTCACATAATTTTCATATATGGATTTGTTCAGCCCTCGCCCAGTTTTTCACACTGACGAGATGTGACCAAGATAGAGTCATTGCTTCCGAGGCCAGCTCCTTCAACCCAATCTGGTGAGCCTGGCGGCCCTTGGTAGCGCCTGTGACGAAGCCACCTGCTGGAAGACCTCCTTGTCTTTGCTGAATCATGCAGCTCGGTTGATCCCGGTGTCAGAGTTGTGTCAGCCATGCCCACTTCATGGCTCCTGGACCTGTGTTTTGCTGGAAGGTTCCACAGTGGTTTGGTGCTAAGACGTCTTCCAGGAGAGATAGAGTTGAGTGGGTCACACATTATCATGTTGTGATTTGTGATACACTATGGATGGTCACATTGGGTCAGATTCAAATTTGGATGTTCTTTGATTTTTGCTTTGTCCATCCACTTTGCCTTGGAGGATGCGATCTGCGGCAACTGCGTGCATTAACACTGTGATGAGTGCCTCAGGACAGCTTTTCAATGTTTTTCAGTGATAGTTTGAGTCGCTTGCCTGGAATGATCAGAGGGCAACTGCGTAAGAAAACCTTCAGGTGACAGTCAGCCACCATCATAGATATCATAAAATGAGAATGTAGAAATATGTGGAAGAATAGAGGAGGGAACAATTTCCCGAACATGCCTTGTGGAGCACTTGTAGGGCTAAAGTCTGGCTTGGCATGGCTGTGTAGTTGTTTAAAGTTCCGAAATGTTGCGAAGGAAAGGTGATGCATTGGAGCCGCTCCTTGCAATTGGTAGAAGATATGGCAACTTGGATGTAAGTGTAGATAGTGTGAGCATGTGCGAGCCCTTTCTTCAAGTTTGTATGCTCGATTCATATTTATGTCAATTGTTTCTTGCAACCTTTAGACTGTCTTTGAACGATTTGTCCTCATGCATTTCTTATTTCTTATTGTCAATATACATCTATATAATGCTTTTGCTTGCATTCAGGCCAAGGCTATCCATTCATGAAGCCACAACTCTGTCAGCACCCTGTCGAGGTCTTTCTCCGTTTGACACCCAGTTCCACCACTGTGACTTGCCTCTTGATGACAGCTGCCGACGCAGAAGATGTGGTGACGGGTTTGGTCAAGCAGCTTTGCAACGAGGCCCGAGCCGGCTTCCAGATTGCTGTGGGATGCACCGAGTTAGGATATCTTACGATAAAGCGCACAAAGCGAGAGATGCCATTCCAGGACTGTAATAGATGGCGTGACTGTGTAAGCAGAAGATTCCGCCATGGAACTTCCCGCCATGTTCACCTCCAGACATCCCCAGATTTGTAGCGACAGAATGCGACAGATCGATAGGTTCGTCCGGACATGTTTCATTTGAACGCCTTGCTGGGTTCCTTTGCTCGGCGCTCTGCTTGGCACCGAGCCCTCCACGTCGCCTCCACCGCAGCGGTTGATGCAGTGGGCGCTCGGGCCACATGGGCAGCGCTCCCGAGCGATGGCTGGCAGCGAGCCATTGATGCTATGGAGCCTGCCTGGGATCACGTGGGAGTCGATGTTGATCTCTGGAGGTTGGCTCAAGGTGGTATATTTGCGAATTGTTCGATCATGTTGATTATGTTGACTATGTTGACTTGAAGTTAATTTATGTTAATTTGATTTCTTGAAGTCCTATGGGGAGCCTAAGATGTTTTTTTGTCTATGTTTATTTTACTTTTAGGCTCCCGAGGCGATCGGTCGAGTCTCATTTAGAATGATCGGCTGAAGATGGCTGAAGGCTCACACAGTTACAGATCTTTCTTTTTGGGGGCGCGCTTTGTATTCGCACAATTCAGTCACATCAAAGACAATCCGTAGACGTCAGATAGCTGCTGGACCCAATTTGAGAAACAACGATTTGGTGGCCAAATTTGCTGTGCGGATAAGATCGAATAAGGGCTTCTGCCTAACCATGGGCATTCTAGGTTTTTACAAAGCGAGGACGTTTGTTGTATTGGATTGTATTCTTTTTTTCTTATTCTGGGGCTCAAAACGTCTCAACACCGGAGTGCCGCCGATGCTGCAGCAAGCCGTTGCAGGAGTATTTCCAGATCGCGGCATCGGTGGCATCCTACACCAGCATCATAGATTGAGCCTAAGCTGATGTCATTCCAGGACTGTCATTCTGTTGCGACAAGACCGAGCATTTTGCACCCATGACATGATGCACATATGCATTCTTACGGCTGTGTGTAAAATTGTAATTGTTTAAAGAATTATTCCACATATGCGCATAGAGAAGCATAAAGATATGATATAAAGTTGTTGATTTGTGTTCATAGACTTTACCAGATTTTAGCAGTAGCAGTGCTGCCCAGGCTGTGTTGACGTTTGGGCTGTGACGTTTCAGCTCTTTTCGGAGCTGCTGCTAGATGCCTTGGTTCCAGATGTCGTGACCAGCAACGCAATTCTGCGAAGCTGTAGCCTAGCCGCAGCTTCGGAGCAGACATGGGCAGATGGTATCAACATGTATCAACCCAAATTTCAAAAGGTATGAGACCCTGGATGGATGTCGGTTATGATATGATATGACGTGATTTGATCTGATTGCAGAATGAGACTGCAGTGATATCGTAACTTACCCATTCCACTTCAACGTTTTCATGTCTCTGTGAAATACAAGAATCCCTGTCCCGACGAAAACCTCCTGGGGTATGCCCAGTGGTGTCAGGTGATCCTGCTGGATGGCTCAATGCCTTTCAGCTGCACAGTACCCAGCACCAGGCAATTGCACTGCAACTTCTTTTGTCTTGGACCCTGAATTATGGACCCTGAAATTATTAGTCTATTTATATCTATTTATGTCTATTTGCATTCACGTCTGCCAAGACTGTGTTCATGTTTGGTTAACTTTGTTCCGAACATCGCGGCGCCAACTTCACGGTTTGATCAATGCTGTGCACAGGACATCATCACCTACACCTCTATGCTCTCTGCATCTGCTGGAAAATGGACGGTCGTCCTGGCATTGCTAGGCGGCTTGACTTTCGTTTGCGACACGATTGGAGAAATCGAAGTATATACTGTAGTGTAGGCTGCTGCTGTCACAGGCCACAGATTGGTAAAGCGTTCTTGTCTTGATTGGAAATCAGCCGTGCCATTTGCATGCGAACACCTGTTGTCAGTTCGCACTTGTATTATCTTGTATTATCACAATAATTAAGTTCCGTAAGAAGTCTCATGAACTAGGTCCATCTCATCGTCTCATGTCTTCACCCTTCGGCTATTCCTACTGATCAATATTGATTCATGTGGGTAACCCAATACTAAGCAAGCCTACCATTTGGGGATGATGTTCACCACCCATCTATAGTGATTTTGGGGGTGGTTGATTATTGGGTTGACCATGTTAGATTGTCTTATCATTCAGTTCCTTCACTGGACTACTTTGGCACGAGCACAGTCGCAAGATGTCGCAAGCTGCACCCTTCAGGCGACATGCAATCCAGAAGGCTGCAAGCATCGCGGTTGACTTACTTGGCAGCCATGGACAGCTTTGGCTCTTTGAATGCAACATCGTTGTGATGTGGATGCGAAAGAGCTTCAAGCCGTGCTCTAGGCATAGACCCTATTAAATCCTTATAGCCTTATAACTAATAACAGTTCAGAGGTCTACGTGCAGTTTGGTTCTGATTTCAATAGCGTTGCTTGGGTTTTTGATGTTTTTTTTAATTACCCGCCATGCATCGCCGACACCCTTCAGCTGTAAGGTTATGTGTGTGATGAAGATCATTCCAGGGATTTCTCGACGCTGGCCACCATGTCAATGTGTCACTGGGGTAGATGAGACATGATGAGACGACCAATTGGGTTGCAGCTACTTGGTTCTTTGGGTTCCTTTCTGTTTGACATTCCCGAGTGCTTTGTAGTGGAAGGGTCGAATCTTCCAAATAATGGAATAGTGAGTGTGTGGCATATAAAGTGGGAAGATGATCGGAACAAATAGACAAAAAGGTCGTATGACTACAGACTATAGATGAAGAGTGATACTAAACTTCACTGTAAACAAGACTGTGAGGGACTCTATGGACCTCTACAGGTCCATGTCTGAACAGACATTCTCGGCGTGTTTGTTCTATCTAAGTTTATGTAACCCAGCCCTGTGACCCAGCCTTTGGCTCAAGACGCGTCGGCCCATTCAACTGACACGAGCGTGCACACTAGCAAGAGGATCCTGGATTGAGGCCCCGTGACCTTGCAGCGCATGACGACTTTTTCAGATTGATGAAGATACATATATTCCGCATACACTCAAATAAATAATTATAGATAAATAAATAAATAAATAGTAATATCAGAATCAATATACATATATACATTCCATTTGTATTACATGCACCTGCATTCCAATTAAACCAGATCTGGGGCGCAACTCACTCGTTGTTTTGCCAGGAGGCATTGTGCAAGCTTTGAGCGGCATGGTGTTTGGTAGTTTTTCCGGCGACTGAGTTAGCTGCTCAACTTTCTTACTCATTGCTTCTGCCATCTTCTGCCACTTGCCACTCCTACCCCTGCCACTGCTGTCCCTCACACTTTTCTGCTGAACCGTTTGATGGCTCCTTGCTTGGATGAGTGGGCGTGCTGCTGGTACCACAGTGTCCTAGTCGTCTATTTTCTGAGTCGGAGCTGCCATGCAGATCACGGTTCCCACAAGAAAGAACACTTCACAACATAGCGAGGGCCCATTGCAGCGTTTTGTCATCCACTTTCCCACCAAGAGAGATAGGCATGCAAATTTGCAAACAGACGATTGCCTCGCCAGGTGTGCTCCTGTCATGGCGATGGCAAACGGGACCAGAGCTTTCTTGGGATGCGGATATTGCACAGAGGCTGGCCGTTTGATAAATTGCTCCTGCATCTCGTCAGTGTGTCAGTTCCGTGCACCTGTCTCCTCATGTCATTTGGCGGTAGCGTCCGCATCCGCAAGATGATCAACTACAACAGACTGTACGCAACTGAACTGAAATTCTCAAGGCTTGGTTTGATCACAACGTATAGCCATGCTGTTTGCCGCTGCATTGGAGTTTCCATGAGGGGATTGAGGGAGTTTGGTGAGCCAACGTGTTGGGTTGAAATGATGCACCACTCTCTATCCAGTCCAGATCTTCCAGCTGGCAGCTGTCTCATCAGGCGTTTCCTGAGAGGAATCAGCCACTTGGACCTTTGACAGGCGGCCCAATCAGAACTTTGGGTGTTCGTTGTCCTTAGTTCCGGGGTTTATTAAAATGTTGTGGCTGGGCCCTGTGTTATGGAGTGGCTTACTATGCTACTTGTAGACTGTTAATCGGAGCTTATTACATACACATTTACGAACACACACAGAGAATCACGGAGATATATTTTATAAGTAAATAAAGATTTTTATATAACTGCGCAGATATTGCCTTCGGAGTTGCACTTGGTTTTCTTCAAAGGCAATGACTTGGAAAACCATGCGAGAGTCATAGCACATTGATGTCACAAGGACGCCCGCGTCGCAGTGCGCCTAGGTTGGAGGTACACATCAAAATGATTCATCCAGGCCTTTTGAGGAACCAAGTGCACCTGGGTGCTGGCAATGCAAAAGATACGATAGGGATTGAAATTCGATGATATGTTGCGTGCTGCTGGATCTTGTGGGTTTTCCGACCTGTGTGGACAAGATTCTTGGTGTACTGGAACCGATATAGACAGATTTTTCTCAAAGCACCTGGGAAACTATGGTAACTCTCACGCACGCGTTCAAGGTGACAAGGTGACAAGGTGTGACACAGCAGCGCCAGGTCAACCCTATCGTTGCATACCAGCGCCATTGCGACACCGAGAGCACCGCCTGGAGCAGGCACTCGTTGTCGGCGCTGAAACAAACCCAACACATGTATTGCACATGTATGATCATATTGGATTGTAACGCAAGAAGACAGAACGGGGGCTTAAAACCACCGATACGGAGTGGCATGACAATGCAATACACATCAATACACGTTGAATCTACGTATTTTAATCTCAATGCTAAAATGCAGTCAAATAATTTTGAATAATTTTGAAAGGGGGCATTTCCCTGTCTCTTGATTGCTTCAGGCAGCACAAAAACGTCAAAACATGTTGCAGTTGTGAGGAATCACTTGCATTTGACAGTCACTTCTTGCTTCGAGGATTGTTTGAAAGTTGCCCGCTGTTTCGCCAAAGATGTTGCATACCTCTTATGTTCCCATAATTACTGATCTAATAACTTCTGATATATGCAAAGCTTCATATTCATAACTTATTAACTAACATTTTTCATAGTTGAACCATGTTGAACCATGTCGAACCATTTTGAATCACGTTGAACCATGTAGTTCTCTTAACGTGAAACTTCCATGGTTTGCCCCTGGACACACGAGGCACCTCAAGCGGCCATCACCAAGAACTTCCCCCTCTCGGAGGTGGCCAGGCATTGCATCCCAGAGGACTGCTGCTTGGCAGAACGTACCAGAACTTGGTAGAAAACCAACATAAACCAACCATGGAAAACCATGGAAAACCCGTGGTGGAATTTGGAATGTTGGGTCCTGTTAGGTAATATGGTTTCATCAAGTCAACAACTACAAATCAACAACAATTACTTTACTTCGTGTGATCCCCACCATGACATTTATACATTTTCTTACTGGCAAATCTTCTGGCATTCTATCTGACATATCTTCTGACATTCTATTTGACATTCTATCTGGCATATCTTCTGGCATATGATCTGGCATATCTTCTGTCATATCTTCTGGCATTCTATCTGGCAAATCTTCTGGCATTCTATCTGGCATATCTTCTGGCACTCTATCTGACATATCTTCTGGCATTCAATCTGGCATTCTATCTGGCATATCTTCTGGCATATATTCTGACATATCTTCTGGCATTCTATCTGACATATCTTCTGGCATTTATTCTGACATATCTTCTGGCATATCTTCTGGCATATCTTCTGGCATATCTTCTGACATATCTATCTGGCATATCTTCTGGCATATTTTCTGGCATTCTATCTGGCAATTCTTCTGGCATTCTATCTGGCATTCTATCTGGCATATCTTCTGGCATATCATCTGGCATTCTATCTGGCATATCTTCTGGCATATCTTCTGGCATATCTTTGACATTCTTTCTGACATTCTTTCTAACTTTCTTCTTCTGCACATTCTTTGTCCCATATCTTCCTACATGAGGTCCGGCAGGGAACACTTGGCGTGGATACTCGCGGTTGAGGTCCGGCAGGGAACACTGGGCGAGGATGGTCGTGGTTGAGGTCCGGCAGGGAACACTGGGCGTGGATGGTCGTGGTTGAGGTCCGGCAGGGAACACTGGGCGTGGATGGTCGTGGTTGAGGTCCGGCAGAGAACACTGTGGATCGCGGGTCGCAGTTGAGCAAGGACGACGGGGACGACGAGGACGACGAGGAGGACGAGGAGGAGGAGGAGAGGAGGACGAGGCAGGAGGAGGCGGAGGAGGAGAAGGAGGAGGAGGCAACTGACATAAAATCTAACAACCCTCACCTGGCAGGTGGGGAAAAAAACATTTAAAACATTTTAAAGAAACACAATAGTCCTATCCTATCTTATCCTGCTATCTCATCCTTCGTCGCGATGATTTGAGGCTGGGTGGCGCTGAATGGCAAAGTCTATGACCTCACAGAATTTATGGACAGACACCCTGGCGGACCCACTACCATCCTGGCGTGGGCAGGGATTCTCGCCACGATCTTGACGTGGTCCTGTTCGGTCCTGTTTGCCCTTGCCCACTACATCCCTTTCCCAAGGTGAATCTACAACATTCTACAACTACAAAGATTAAGCGGCAAACTTGAAGAGGTATCAAGCAATGCAGATAATGCAGGGAGTGCAGCCAACCTACAACCTTTCAAATCATTCAACATGTTTGGCCACCAACCGTCACTAACCAGATTCGACAGAGTCAGGTACATGCCGTATTCGATTCTAGCCATGAAATGCTAAGGAAAGATGCCTCAAAGTTCTTCAACGAGATTCACAAAGGTGGCATTTGCTTGATCTTAGAATATCTTAGCTTTGAGATTGGGCAACGAATGGAAAGGTCATGGGTCTAGATTTTGCGTGTGATCCAGTTGTCCAGTTGTCCAGTGAAGGTGTGAAGATTGACTCTTACTTGCGGCCTGAAGCTTTTCTTGGAGACCTCGGCCTTGATGAAAGTTTGATGTTTCTAGGCTCAGATTTTGTTTGATTGTGCGCAACGTCGTGGATCGAAGTGTTGGATGGGGTTGACAGATGCCAAGGTGAGGGCAGTGCACGGAACAAATTAATTACGTGTTGCATGTATGTGTGATTGAATGCATAGTATTTTTTCATAAACAGGAGGGAATATGTGTTTTTTCAACATTTTTGCACAGTAATGTTGGATGGACAATTGTAAAGCGCGTGCAATAGCTACAAATAATTTTCAGAAAATTCCCAAATTATCAGATTTTCCAATACTAAATTGTAAAGGGGCTAATTGAGACTTAGTATGGATGCAGGAAGAAAGCTCAGAACCAGTATATAATAAGATGCATGAACAGATGCACTGCTGTTTTTAGACCCCAGAGGTGTCAGCATGCAATGTCTCTCAGAAAGGTGAAACAAAAAGGTTCACCAGAGAGCCGCAAAGGTGAAACAGATTAGTGCACCAGAGAGCTGCACCACAGCGCTGGCACCAGAAGGCTGCACCAGAGGGCTGCACCAGAAGGCTGCACCAGAAGGCTGCACCAGAAGGCTGCACCAGAATTCTCCTGAAAAACAAGAACAGTGGCAAATAGCCTTTTTTTTAAGAAAAGAGAACAGAAACCTCCTTCAAAATTGCAGAAACTGCATGGACAACTGAGTATGGTACAGATTTTGGGCAAGCCCAGATGCCAGAAGCACATGTCCACCAAATGCCAGAAGCAGCAGCCAGATGTAGACAGAGAGCTGGCAGCCCAGAGTGACCAGATCCAGGATGCAACCAAGGGCTGAGTCCCACAGATCAGGCAGCAATGGCATGGCCAGACTATCACAGAGCAGAGCAGAGGTGTAACAGCTACTGTACAGAAGCATCAAACAATTCATCAGAATTCATCCCAGGTACAGAAAATCTAATGAGAATCCCACCAAAGCCTATCAGAAAACAGAGGTTCTCAATCAGAATCCAATGAAGATCCCATCAGAGCCTATCAGAAAAGAGAGGATTTGCCCTTAAAAAAATAAATAGGGGGGCCTTTACTATAGTCGATGTAACATGATAAACAATGGCAAGAAATGGCAGGAATATTTACCATATTAAGGTATGTACAGGCTTAGAAGATGGCCCTGTACTAGTACAAAAACAACAGGAGCTTGCCGTCGTGCTGTTGAAGCCCCAGGTCCGAGTCCTTCTGGCACACTTTGCGTGAAGCTCGAATCACTGAAGTGAAGGAAGAACTGAACCGAATCTTGGGCAAGACAGATTCTTGGCAGCTCTATCCAGCTCCAAGTCATCAAGGCAACCATCATCGTGCTACTGTAATTAGGGACGTCTAAAAATCAAGCGATTCAAGTCAAAGTTGTTGATGCTTACATTGATTGCCACGGATTGCCACGGTATTAGTGCAGTGACTCAGGAGTTGCCCACAAGGCAGGAGAGTTTGTCGGTCTTGCTGAACGACAAGTCCTTGGATCAAGAACTCAAGGCTACTTGGAACTCGGAGGGGCACCAGCCGGGCACTAAAGATTCAAAACGGAATTGGTCCAAAGATCCAACTGCATCGGTTGGACCAGGTCAACCCCTAGGAGGATGGCAAACCACTACCAGTAGCCTGATTTATCCTGATGTATCATGTTGTGATGTGAGGCGAAGCTTCAACGAATGGAGACGCAGAAGAGAGCAGCATTGGATGCAGGACATTTCACTTTATGGCGTGATATCTATAATTATATGTTCATATATATATATAATTAGTGTAATTAATTATATAACATGTCGTGGAGAGCAAATGATGGCGAGAGAGATGGATAGTCAAAGTTTCTTCAGGCAAGTGCTCCCAACCCATCATGGGCTGTGTGGTTTGTGTTCCCTTTCCCGCAGGAGATTACGAGAAGGCAGCGCAGATAAAGAAAGACACGGACCAAATGTTCCTGAAGCATCTCAGCGACATCTCAGGAATGTCCAGCATCGAGACATATCGAGACATTCAAGGTTTGACCACAACTCTCCTCATTCCCCAATTTGATAAGGCCAGTGGAGATCAAGAAAACTGGTGACATCACCTTGACGGAAGTGTCCGAACACAACAAGCCTCATGATTGCTGGGTTGCAGCAACTGGGCCTTATTAGGTAATGAACAAACCCCAAACACACAAATGGTTCAACTTGACACCCATAGTTAGAAATATCCCAGTGGGAGTTTCTTGAACCGACAGCGATGCGTTGCTGTGCTTTGGGGCCCAAAAATTGTACAAACTCGTGCTTGCTGCGTGGAACAGCAACATCCCCCAAAAACTTCAAAACCGTACAGCTCGAAAGGAATGGCCTCGTACGTCAAACAGAGTTGGCTTTTGCGTAGTTCACTAATTAGAGAGCTACTAAACTCAATGAGCAAGTGTCACTATTGTTTTAATAGTGAACTCACTAGCTACTTGATTTGTTAGTTCAGGGTGACAATGGGCTAGCGTGCCAGACATTGTTTTTTTGCAGATTTGTCTCTTGAGGCGCACGCAGATTGTAGATTATTTTAGCAATTATGCGGGCGGCATAAAGCACCCAAGAATGTTGCTGTGTGCCTTGCTATTGTGAAACGCAAAGGAGGGATGCTAGATGATTGCTTACCCAATGGTCTTTGAACAGAGATGGCCCAGGGAAAAGGAAAATCAGACAAAATTAAAAGTAGTTAATGCTGAGAAGGGGCAGCACGGAGAAGAGATTCCTTGGAGAAGCTGCAACTCATGAAGCGGATGGAAGAGGTAAGGTGGCTCACAGACTGTTGCTGTAATTCTACTTTAATGTCCTTCAATAATGGGTCGTTCAGTAATGCCTTTAGCATCCTTCAAAGCATCCTCTAGTGATTCAACCTGTCAGTCATTGACACAAAGACACATGTTAGGTCTAACTTTTCCTTACCAGCAATTCTTGTTTGTATAGCCGCTCAAGCGTTCTTCCCCCACCTGTCAGGTAAGGATCTTTGGGTTTCATGTCAGCGTGCCCTTCTCCACTTCCTCCTCCTCCCCTCTCCTCACAGGCATGTCAAAGTCTAATATTAGAATATTGGCTGGCAACATTCAGAAATGTATTTCAGAATGCATTGCAGAATTTCCGTTTCAATACATGTCAAACTAGATGTCAGAAGTGTTTTACATGTTTTATTGCGTTTATGCCGGACTATGCCGGACTTTGAGTTACAGTGAATGTCACTTCATTGGAGTGTCAGTTGTGTCAAGACTGAATGTTTTTAGCACCCTGAGAATCGCAGGACCAGGTACTGTAAAGTCATTGTGGAAGCTCCTCCCCAATGCAGAAAGGTAGTTTTGTTTCCATGACCAGATATGAATACAGCAAGTGTAGAATAGATGCCGCAGGGCTCATTTTTCTCCTTGGTTTCAATGCCGCTGATGTGTCCCCACAGATCAACGATGTGGTGTACGACCTGACGGATTTTTTGCAGCACCACCCCGAGCAGCGCAATGCCATCTTGGCGTGGGCTGGTCGTGATGCAACACCAATGTGGAACAAGATCCCCGGCAGGTTCCCCAGCATCTCGGCCAACGTTTCGTCATATCGTTTTGACCCTGGCCTTTGGGTTGTTCCACGTGGCGCGCACACAATATATATATATATTATACACAATCACACACACATGTTTTAGTTGATTTGTATTTTCGTTCTCTTTCGAGAGACAACTTGGGTGCAGTACGGCCCTGTGTGCTTCAAGGCAAGAACTGGATGGAATTCTACATGCGGCCAGAGGCTGAGATGGGAAAAGTTGCTCCGGAACCACCAGTCGAACCAAAAGAGAAGGACTGGGCAACCTTTCACCAAAATCATTTACACGATATATTTTCACAATTGTTCCTTTCTCTTTGGCTGCACACATGGGATGTTCAAAGTTTGATAAGCTCCAGTTCCAGCTAATATCCAGTTGCTGATTTGATCGAGGTTTGTTTCACGGGTGCCGCTGTGTCAGTGCTGACTCCTGCCTGTGCCATCCCATTCCTCTGGAGGAGATTCTTCATCTCCTTATGGAGCTGCACAAGTTGGAAGGACCTTCGCAGGACCTGGGATGGTGCAAGTGCAGAAAATCAACTGGGAATATTGGCGCCAAGCCTCCAAAATGTCCAAATAACATCAAATAACATGTCGTGCCAAAGCCCCGTGATGCCCCGTGGCAGGAAGATATCAAAGCGGCCAAGGCGGCTGCTGCGAAGGTGCCAGGCACAGCAGATGTGCCCAAGGTTTCAGAAGCAGCGCGTTTCCCGCTTCTCGGATGATTGGTGTTCACGGGTGCTTGTACAGTGAATAGATTCAACAGATGTTTTTTCCCCACCTGCCAGGTGAGGGTTGTTAGATTTTATCAGAGTTGTTCTCCTCCTTCCTCCTCCTTCCTCCTCCTTCCTCCTCCTTCCTCCTCCTTCTCCTCCTCCGCGTCCTCCTCCTCTTCTAACACCTCTGCCTCCACTTCCACGTCCACTGTTGCCTTGCCAACTCTTGGCCAAGCTCTTCGCCAACTTCGGAGCTCAGTGCGCACTGCTGGACCTCAACCTGGGACCTTCCCAGCTCAGTGCGCACCGCTGGACCTCAACCTGGGATCTTCCTAGCTCAGTGTGCACCTCAACCTGGGACCTGCCAAGCTCAGTGCGCACCGCTGGACCTCAACCTGGGGCCTTCCGAGCTCAGTGCGCACCGCTGGACCTCAAAAGCCAGATAGAATGCCAGAAGATATGCCAGATAGAATGTCAGATAGAATGCGAGAAGATATGCCAGATAAAATGCCATAAGATTTGCCAGATGATATGCCAGAAGATATGCCAGATAGAATGTTCGAAGATGTGCCAGATAGAATGCCAGAAGGTATGCCAGATAAAATGCCAGATAAAATGTCAGATAGAATGCCAGAAGATATGCCAGATAAAGTGCCAGAATGTTTGCCAGATAAAATGCCAGAAGATTTGCCAGATAGAATGCCAGATAGATAGTCAGAAGATATGCCAGAAGATATGCCAGATAGAATGCCAGATAGAATGCAAGAAGATATGCCAGAACATATGCCAGAAGATATGCCAGATAGAATGCCAGAAGATTTGCCAGTAACAAATCGATAAATGTCATGGTGGGGATCACACGAAGTAAAGTAATTCTTTGTTTATTTTTGTTCATTGTTTTCAGATGTTGTTGCACATGCTCTTTCCGTTTTGTTCATGAATTTAGATTTATTTAAGCGCTTACGCGCGACAGCCGGCCAGGGGCCCAACTATGTTGACCTGCTTCTTGTTGTTGTTGTTGTTGTTGTTGTTGTTGCGGTGGTTGTGGTTGTGGTTGTGGTTGTGGTCGTTGTTGTGGTTGTTGGTTGTTGGTGGCTGGTTGGTGGTTGGTGGTTGGTTGTTGGTTGTTGGTTGTTGGGCCCATTTTGTGCCATCTTGGTCCGATGTTAGCCCATCTTTGGGCCCATGTTGCGCCCATCTTGGGGCTATGTTTGCTCATCTTGGGCCTATGTTAGCCCATCTTGGGCCCATGTTGCGCCCATCTTGGGGCAATGTTCGCCTATGTTGGGGCCATCGTGGGCCGATGTTGAGGCATCTTGGGGCTATGTTGGGGCATCTTGGGGCTATGTTGGGCGATCGTGCGCGATGTTAGTGCAAAAACATGTTGAATGTCACAGGGCCAAAAAAACACTGTAAATTACAGGGGTTTCTGTCGACACGCGCACCCCACCGCGAGGTCAGGGGCAGGGGCCCAACTATGTTGGCCCATCTGTTGGCCTATGTTGGCCTATCTTGCGGGCAATGTGGGCTCAGCTTGGAGCTATGTTGACCCAGCTTGGGGCTATGTTGGCCTATCTTGAAGGCTATGTGGGCCGATCTTGAGGCCTTTGTCGGCCGATCTTGAGGCCTATGTTGGCCCATGTTGACCCGTGCGGAGCCAAAAGATCCGAAAAATGGGAACAGCAAAAAAACACTGTAAAACGCAGGATATTTTGAGGGTCGGCGGCCTATCTTGGGGCTATGTTGGCCCATCTTGGGGGCTATGTTGGCCCATCTTGGGGCTATGTTGGCCCATCTTGGAGCTATGTTGGCCCATCTTGGGGCTATGTTGGCCCATCTTGGGGCTATGTTGGCCCATCTTGAGGCCTATGTTGGCCCATCTTGAGGCCTATGTTGGCCCATGTTGACCCATCTTAAACCACAAGATCCGAAAAATTGGAAAAAGTGGGAAGAGCACAAAACACCGTAAAACGCGGGGGTTTTTGGCCGGACCGGGTGGTCGGCGGCTGGGGCGGCGGCCCCTCTCTCCTACGGAGAGGAGAGAAACGCCGTTCGGCTATGCCACGGCCAGGGGGCCCCTGGCCGGATTTTTGGGCTGACGCCCCTCGTCGGCTCCGCCGGACCACTCGGCCCTCCATTTCATCGCAGTGAGGGCGTGAAAGTTACTGAATGAGGACCTGCTTCAGAAATAAGTATATTCCTTAGGTTTTTTGGAACATATTTGTTGGAATAGACGTTTTTTGGGGAGCAAGTGAGTTCCCGAAAGCTCCTGCGAATGGTTTTTCCTAAAGAACTGCTGCCGATTTCAACTTGTTACTTCGTGTAAAGGCGCCTCTGTGCAAAGACTTCTCTGTGTAAAAGCTTTTGTGTGTAAAAGTAAGATTCTCTGTGTAAAGACTTCTTTGTGTGAAAGCTTCTTTGTGTGAAAGCCCGTCTGTGTAAAGATTTCTCTGTGTGTAAAAACTTCCGTGTGTAAACACTCTCTGCGTAAAGGCTTCTCTGTGTAAAAGTTTCTGTGTGTAAACGCGTCTGTGTGTTAAAGCTCTCTGTGTAAAGACTCCTTTGTGTAACAGCTTTTGTGTGTAAAAGCTCCAAGACGTTTGTGTGAAAAAGCTCCGCAGAGGAAAGACTTCTCTGTGTAAAACCTTCTGTGTGTAAAAAGCTACTCTGTGTAAAGGCTTCTCTGTGTAAAAGCCCCTGCGTGTGTAAAAGCTTGCTGTGTGTAAACGCTTTGGTGTGTAAACGCTCCTCTGTGTAAAGGCTTCTCTGTGTAAAAGCTTCTGTGTGCAAACGCGTCTGTGTGTAAAAAGTCCTCTGTGTAAAGACTTCTTCGTGTAAAAACTTCTGTGAGTAAAAGCTCCTAGACGTTGGTCTGCAAAAGCACCTTAGAGTAAAGACTTCTCTGTGTAAAACCTTCTGTATGTAAAAAGCTCCTTTGTAAAGACTTCTCTGTGTAAAAGCCCCTGTGTGTGTGGGTAAAAGCTTCTGTGCGTCTCCTCCCTCCAGCTTTCTTTCGGGTCACGCTGTCGTCCAGTTTCAATCTGCAACGTTGTTTCTTGTGGAAGAGTGCAAAATAATGCAAAGAACATGTGAAAGCATCGCGTGTTTAAAAATTGAACATAAACAGCGCACAAAGTGCTGTAATTTACAGCATATTGCGCTGTCAGCTGGCAAGAACCCGCGTAAATACCACAGTTTTAGTCCCCCAAAGTGGCTAAAACACTGTTATTTACAGGGTTTCGTTCACGTCACGATCTTCGATTTTTTGGGAAACGCGTAAATACCAGCGTTTTTTGCGTTCATCAAGGCAAAAAATCGGTTCAAAAAGTGCAAAAAATGCTGTAATTTACAGGGGTTTGGCGCCGTCACGGGCAAAAAACTGTGTAAATACCAGCGTTTCAGCGTCCAAAAGTGGCTAAAACACTGCTATTTACAGTGTTTCGTGCCTTCCACGTTTTCTTGAAATTGCAAAAACAGTGTAAATACCAGCATTTTTTGCGATAAACTTGCCAAAAATGTTGTAATTTACAGTGTTTTTTGGCTTGGCTTTCAAAAACACTGGTATTTGCAGTGTTGTGTGCATCTCGGGTCAAAAAAGTATTGGTATTTACAGCATTTTCTGCGTTTTTGCATTGCTCCCGCAAAAGACGTTAAAACGCAAAAATGCTGTAATTTACAGCATTGTGCCCATTTCGAAAAGCTGAAAATCGTCCGAAAAATGTGTCAAAACGACACTTTTTTTCGATTTTAGGTATCCTCAAAACGGGGGGGGGGCGGGATTTTGCTCTTGGAGACGCTTATGAGCGACCCGGATTCCGGCCAAAAAGCTTTCCCCCACCCTCCTGAAGGATTTTTGGTGTTTTTCGGGGCCCGGCGTCGGAGGGTCGGCGGCTTGGGGCGCGCCTCACCTTAGAGCTCTAGTCGCTCTGGGACGCTCGTAGGGCAAGCCACTCGTGGGGAGCCGGCGGAGCCGAATTTAAGGGCTGCCGCCCCTGCCGCCGACCCCGGACAAAAAAAGAGGTGAACCTGGTGTTGCAGACGAAGCAGAGAAGTTCTTGGAAAGCGCCCAGAATCCTGCAAAATGCAGCAATAAAGCCTCTGGTAAGGGCGCTGCGAGGCATTTGGAGCGAGGCTGCTGCCTAACGTCGTTTTCTGCAGCCACTAGAAAAGTTCTTGGAAAGCGCCCAGACTCCTGCAAAATGCAGCAAAAGCCTCTGGTAAGGGCGCTGCGAGGCATTTGAAGGGCGGCTACTGCCTAACGTCGCTTTCTGAAGCCACGAGACAAGTTCTTGGAAAGCGCCCAGAATCCTGCAAAATGCAGCAAAAGCCTCTGGTAACGGCGCTGCGAGGCATTTGGAGGGAGGCTACTGCCTAACGTCGCTTTCTGCAGCCACTAGAAAAGTTCTTGGAAAGCGCCCAGAATCCTGCAAAATGCAGCAAAAGCCTCTGGTAAGGGCGCTGCGAGGCATTTGGAGGGAGGCTACTGCCTAACGTCGCTTTCTGCAGCCACTAGAAAAGTTCTTAGAAAGCGCCCAGAATCCTGCAAAATGCACCAAAAGCCTCTGGCAAGGGCGCTGCGAGGCATTTGAAGGGCGGCTACTGCCTAACGTCGCTTTCTGAAGCCACGAGACAAGTTCTTGGAAAGCGCCCAGAATCCTGCAAAATGCAGCAAAAGCCTCTGGTAAGGGCGCTGCGAGGCATTTGGAGGAAGGCTACTGCCTAACGTCGTTTTCTGCAGCCACTAGAAAAGTTCTTGGAAAGCGCCCAGAATCTTGCAAAATGCAGCAAAATCCTCTGGTAAGGGCGCTGCGAGGCATTTGAAGGGAGGCTACTGCCTAACGTCGCTTTCTGAAGCCACTAGAAAAGTTCTTGGAAAGCGCCCAGAATCCTGCAAAATGCAGCAAAAGCCTCTGGTAAGGGCGCTGCGAGGCATTTGGAGGGAGGCTACTGCCTAACGTCGCTTTCTGCAGCCACTAGAAAAGTTTTTGGAAAGCGCCCAGAATCCTGCA